ACCAATTGTAGTCGCTAACAATTCCAGTCTTGAAATGGACATCTTCTTCATCGGCGCCACTCTCAACCTTGCTTGTAACAAGAATATTTTGACCCCTTCATGAACATTTTGTTCGTTTCATCATCTATCTTCTCATCCCATCCAATTTTATCGTTCCACATTTTCTGTAACATCAGCTTAGGATACAAAGTTGTGGAGCTAGTTACTCCGATTGGATCGAATATTCGCTGAGTGTAAAAAAGAACAATTCTCTTCGTAATCACGCCATTCGTTGTCTTAGGTGTATAACAAAGCATTAGAGTGTCATGTCTTATATTCCAATTTAATCTCAATAATGGTGCAATGTGATCCTCCAAACTTTCTATCTTGCTACACTCCCACTCTGTCAACTCAAACCCACCTTCGGCCATCAGTGCAGTGGCTTCTCTTACGAATGGATCTTTTGTTTGCTCATACAGTATGCTAGTGACACAGTTGTCTACATAAAATATTTTTCTTAACCGGTTTACAGTGAGTTCAGAATACCTAAATGTTTTCCCCTTCTATTCCACAATATTTTTCAATATGTTGTTCTAAAGTAGCGCCGAACAGAAAAAGACTTGAATTCACCCCAAATACCACCCTTCGGTGACGATATAATAAATCTTTACCTTCGTCTGTCTTCCATATGAATCTCAGGAAATCTCTATCCCTAACATTTAGGCTAATTTGTAAAAACGCTTTTCTGATATCCGATGTTACTCCAACCCTTTCTATGGGTTCTATAGGTGGTCAAATCAGATTTCTTTACCTCACCTTACCAAATATGTCGAAACGTAAAGGCAAACGATATACCAAAAAGACTACCATTTCTATTATCATTGCAAAAATTATTATAAATACTATTGATTTATCGTATAATACATTATAAAGGCAAGTGTAGTCATCTAAAAATGTTTTAATGCCGAAAACAATGAATATACCATTTTAAGATAAAGACGCATTTTGCTCTATAAGACTTTTATAGCACCATTCATCTAAGGGCAAGCAAGTGCAAGACACACGGTATGGCTCCGTAAATCATTAGAAAAATACGTCGTCTACTTCACGTCATCGCGTTCAACATTAACAATAAACCAGACCACCAACGACGAAAGCGCGCTCGATATGTTCTCGTTCCCGAATCTATATATTAGAGAAGCGGTGCATGCTCCGGACACTTTTAGATGTTTTACATTTTACGGTACCCGGTTGGCAATTTCGACTCCTATCGCGAGAAATATATGACAAATGTAGGTTAAGTGAGCCGCTACGTTACAGCGTTCTGTACACTGAATATTTACGTGTATATGTCTGTGTGCGGGAAGCTTGTCTACCGGGAGGGACATGGGGAATATTTGCAGGAGTCGCGCACTTACCAACCCACGCCTCTGGAGATAGTGATATTTATTGGCGTACCGCGATAAACCCTGAGTTACGGAGAAACGTACTGATATACAAAACGAGACGTGCATGTGTGCGGTGGATTTTAAAACGACTCCCTAAATCGATTCCGTTGAATTCGCACAAAACAGGCCCCATGCATTAGCGAGTAAAATATTGGCAGAGGCAATTTATATTTTCTATTATCCAACATAAAAATACCGAATGTAAATAAAATACAGTAAATTTAATTAAAAGTTTATGAATAGAAGTATGAAAAGGTTTTTAACATTATTTTATAGAATATAAGTACAACATTTGGATTCGATTAAATATCAAATAGTTTAAAGTAGAAATTTCCTAATATAATTAAAAATTCCTTGGAAAACGTGTAGCTATTGATATTAAAACTGAAAGAGCGTATTATGACAAGGCATTAAAAAACTTCGTGATCTACAAGGGAAGCTGCGTGGCGATTCGAGCTGGTTAAGCTTACACGCATATTTTCATCATCATATCTCATGTCAATCATATTTACATGTATCAGGAAGCGTGGAATTTGATGATGCGTTGCTTTATAATGAAGTATGCAAGTATGTATTAAAAAATACTACAACGTAATCATTAAATATGACATCTGGTGTGTAAAAAATATACGTGGATGAGATTCATCGCACATGTTGGATTATTGAAAAAAATTCCAAATTTTCATAGCGTAAATATTCGAAAATTTGATTCCTCAACGTTTCTAGTTCAAACCTAAAAAAAAATTAATCGACCTGTGGTTGCTCCACATTTAATTTTACTCTTGAGAAACGTTACATGAGAAAGTTTACGTCTTGTTATCGGGGAGGTAGTGTTGGGTTGAAGCTGAATCCCGACTGCCAAAATCGCCCCCATCTTCAGCCTCTATGAAGGATTAGATTTCTTTTATTTTCGTACTCGATCATTATTATCACATATACAGCACCGTAATCGCTTATATAGATATCTTTTCTTCTAGAATTGCTTTCTGAATTGTTTGCCGAATCCAAATTGGTTCCTTGGAAGTAGTTCGTTCCCTTGTTCTTCTTCTTGTAGCCACTCTGGCTGACTTCTTTCCATAATCTTCGACAAGGCGATTAATAAATTAATAGGTCTCCTGTTCCCGAGCTGCGTTCTTTTACCTGGTTTTGGGAACGTTAGCATAGTCGCCATTTTCCACGACTCTTGGAATGATTCATTTTATTATTTTATTAACAATCTTTGTTATTAGCTTTGTTATGTAGAATCTCCTGCTAATCTCTTTCTCGGTAATTTCTAAAGCTTCTGGATTTCTCTCATGGACATAGTTCACCGCCGTGTTTACTCTGCCTTGCATATTATCGTCAATTACATTCTTGGTCGTCAAATAACCATTGAATTGCCGGAGTTATTAGTGGGATTCTAACATTCTTCTTATCTTTTTGAGGAACTTCTATATGTATTGGTTTAGATCTACAATTTTCTTAACCACCTTCTGTAGCTGACTTACAATTTTTTGTGTCGTAGGTTATTCGCTTAGCTCCATGTCTTTTTTTTTTGGGTTATTTTTCTCTTGTATTAGTTTCTTCTCTTTCATGGATAAACTCTTCTTCAATTTCCTTAATGACGTATTCTTAAAATCTGTATTTAATTTAATTTAATATAATTTAATTTGCCCAAAAAGAAATATACATATAAAGTACATACATATCATATATATATATATAGGGTACAGCATAGCTGATTACTAGAAAACTAGAAAACTAGAAAACCAAAAATAAATACATATACATATATCAAAGTAATAACCAACAAAATAAAAATAAAAATAATTATAAATAAAAATAAAAATAATTATAAAAATAAAAATAATTAAACTTAACATTTTGATTCTTGTTCCTCAAGAAGCCTGCGCTTCAAGGTGCATTTAAAAGATCTATTAGATTTCAACTGAAAAACATCTGAAAAGCAATTATAAATTGTAGGTGCTCTGTACGCAAAGCTACCACAAAATTTAGCAGATTTATGTTTGGGAATCGTCAACAACTTCGTTTGTCTTAGATTAACATTATGTATTTGCGATCTTGGTACTAAGATACAATATAAATAATAAGGCAATTTGTAAAATATTACATTGTATAACATAACAGCTAGCAAGAGTGTACATCTAGGTTCCATTTTTAAGATAGAATATCTTATGTAATAGGGGGTAACATGTTCTCTACGATCAATCGAGTATGAAAACCTAAGTCCGCTGTTCTGAAGTATTTGAATACGATTTTTTAAAGTAGCTGATAGAAAATTGTAGTAAACGTTACTACAGTAATCAAGTTGACTTAGAATTAAGGAGTTAACAAGTCTCCATTTCAATTGTGGTGACAACAATGACTTAAATTTATATAACGATTTTAACTTATAGTAGCACACACCAATTTTCTTATTTACATGTTCCGCAAAATTAAGATTACTGTCGACAGTAAGACCTAAGTTGTTGGTCGATTCAGAGAACGCTAAGACAGTTCCATTGAGGTGTATAGGAACCGATAAATTATCGATTGCTCTTCTGCGAATGTTGGCCGACCCGACACACATACATATAGTTTTTTTCGCGTTAAGAATTAACCCGTTAACAGAACACCACTCACAAATATTCTTTAAATCAGAGTTAAGCAAGCGCACCGTGTCATCAACACTGATAATATCACAAGAGATGTAAATCTGCGCATCATCCGCGTATTGATGAACCGAACAGCTCGTCACTACATTTGGCATGTCTGCCGTAAATAAGTTGAATAATATAGGACCCAAAACACTTCCCTGTGGAACACCTTGCTTGACTAGGATACCGCTAGATATATTACCATTAATCTTTGTATGTTGAGATCTGTTCACAAGATATGACTGGAACCAATGTACAACGTCTTCTTTACATCCATAACGGACTAGCTTGGCTATTAGAAGCTGATGATTGATGATATCAAAAGCCTTACTAAAGTCCAGGAATACAACGAAGGTAACTCTTGAGGCATCAATGGCACAGCACCAATCGTTCACAATTTTAGTTAACGCGGTCGTTGTGCTATACTTCTCCCGAAATCCAGATTGGCATCGTGGGAGTAAATTAGTATGATTCAGGTGATGTACTAGCTGTGAAGCAACAATCTTCTCTAATATTTTAGATAAGATAGGTAACACACTAATCGGTCGTAGGTCTCCTAGTGACGTAGCATGGCTCACTTTAGGTAGAGGTGTTACTAGAGCGATCTTCCATTGTTTCGGATAAACTCCGTATATTAGTGAGAAGTTCATTATGTGAGTGATTTCTTGGAGGCAGTACTCCAATACAAGTTTTATCATTTTCAGATCGATTGCTTGATTAAATATTTTATGAGCATAAAATAAAATACTAATTTGATTTTAACCAACCTTCTTTTTTTTTTTTTAACCAACCACTAAAACCTTGATCTCTTCAGCTTATATCAAGGTGCTAAATATCAATCCTATGTCCAGCAGCAGTGAGACACCTGAGTAAAAAAAAACAACTCATCCACTGTACAAAAACCTTGCAGTACAGTGTAATTTATTTTGATTAATTAATAACTTTGTATATTTTTTATTGAAATTAGGTGATGTATAATGGTCTGCAAGTATTAGATAGAGTAAGACATAGACAATCCCAAGCGACCGTCCAAGGTGTGACGTGGAACTGTTCATCAGAATTTGAAGTAGACGCAAATAAACCGATAAGTTTTGTAAACGACGATGCCTTCATGGTTTTCCCTCGTTCGGTGGAAAAGTCATTAAAGCTCCAGTTTGAAATAAAAACGATCCTAGAGCGAAGTTTGGTCTTTTATAATACAGGTCAAAAAGCGAGATCGGATCACTTCGCCATCGAGCTGGACGAGGGTAAAATCAAAGTGATATTAAAATCTAACGGTACGATCGTAGAAAACTGTAATAGCGTTTACGTTTCGGATGGGAAATGGCACACAGTTTCCGTTCGCTTGACAACGACAACTATCGATCTGAGTGTCAGTTCAAATTTAACAAAATTTGATATACCACGTGGCGAATTTGAGTTTGATAAACACTTTTTCGATAAACTATTTTATGTTGGGGGATTGGAAAATAGTAAAAAGTCGCGTGCCAATTCCAAAGGGCTCAAAACTGTCAATAATACTTTTAAGGGTTGCCTCAAACATATTGCCTTTTCTGAATACAAAATTGGGTTACCGGACGTACTCGTTTCTTCTGGTTTACACACCGGGTGCGTGTGGGAGTACAAATGCGTTCATAAATCTTGTACGGGAAAAAGTGTTTGCGTGCAAGATGGTTTGGATGGTTTTAAATGCGTTTGCGACCGGAAAGACTGCAAAATATCCGGCGAAAGCATTTATACAAAACCTAATTCCGCCGATAAACTCGAATTATTATCAATTGAACCATTAGAAGTACTTGAAGGTAATAACACTTTAGTTACCACGCAAAATTTACACGTCACACTTGATTATGAAAAATATGGCATTCAAGAAAAAGGTATTAAATTCCAAATTCTTCAGTCACCTTTATACGGAACGATAACGAATAATGCTTGGCTAGAAGATGTGAAATTATTTACGCTCTCCGACGTAGCAAAAGATAAAGTACATTATTTACATGATGGATCTGAAGATCGAAAAGATTTTATCGTTATGGAAGTACAATTTACGGCCGATAAGTTTTTGTTACCCTCCTATTTACAAGGATCCTTTAAATTCACGTTAAACGTGAATGTTATACCAACAAATGATCCACCTGTTTTAAACACACCGGCTACTTCCGTTTTGAGAATAGCACAGGTAAATTAGCGCATGTTAAATTTGGAATGCTCCTTCATCTGCTAACGGAATGATTTTTAGTGGAATGTTTCGTTTTCTTTAACCCTCAGATTTTTATTTTTGTTTATTTTTAAAGATACTTTAAAGAGTTGTTGCTAACCATCCCTAGCACGTGAGCGTTTTTTATACAAAAATTAAGGTAAGTTGTACCCCTAATTTTTTTTAATTTATATCAAAAGAACATCTATAATGAGTGAGGATCAAGAAAATAATTTAAATAAAATAAATATACTCAGTATAGATGTTTATTATTATTAAGATTAATTTTTTAACTCAAAGTATGTTAACATGATAATTAGAGATTATTAAGAAAGTAGTTGTATTAGCTCTGGAAACTAAATATGCTATGATTAAGCATCAAAGATATCATTTTAGTGTAGAGCAGGGTTTTCCAAAAAGGGGGACCCCCTCTTAGGGGTTTCTTATTGTTCGTGATATAAAAAATAATCTCGGCCGACTTCGAAGACGTCGGCCGCTCCAAGTATCATGAAGAATACTTAAGGCTCCTTAACCGAGTCTGTCACCGTAGATTTCGAATTACTTCCTTATTTATTAATGGATTGGATTAATTTATCATTTGTCATGTTTCTACAATAGTTATGAATCCGGGACAAGAACAGAAAATGAAATTTGAAAAAAAATATTGCTTTATTTTTGAAAATAGTAAGATTTTTACGATTTTTCTTCTTGGCCCGGATGTAAAACAATAAAATAGAAACATTATTCCTGTAGCACTTTTACGAAATATTAATAATAAACCCGTAATTAGTAATTTACGGTTTTACATTAAATTTTAATATTTTGGAATATATTTTACTTCCCGGATCTCACGAGCGATGATTGGTTAATGAAAAAAACATGTGGGCTGGCTATGTGAATCTCTGGCGAGTGGTTTGTAACGTAAAAAAACCGCAGACATAGATAAAAAACAAGTTTGTAGACATAGTTCTTGTCTACCGACTGCATACTATGAAAGGGGAGGAAGCTTACTTTTTCTGATATCGTGCTATAGAATGTTCTGATTATCGATTTGCGCGTAAATACGAACCAAAAGTGTATTTTTATATTATTATTATTTTATATAAATACAGGGTGATTCTCAACCTATACGCATAAACTTGGAGATTTACTACTCACGACGAATAATGACTAATAGGCAAAAAAATTTGTAGTAAAAGATTTTTTGTTTCATAGATATCCGTGATATTAACTATCAAGAATACATAGAACATTTTAAAATAACATCACAGCAAGTGTTCGAAGTGATTTCCCATATTTTCTATCAATTGGCCTCCCGGAATCCACGATCTCCCATTAGCGCGGTCTAAACCAGGGTGTTGGCGAATTGTCTGGGCAGCAGCATGTAAATGATTTTGCAATATTGGCTCAGTATTAACTTCCGTTACGTACACTTTGCTTTTTAAGTGACCCGACAAGTAAAAATCAAGAGGGTTGAGGCTGGGCGATCACGGTAGCCAGGTCATTGGACCATCTCGACCTATTCATTTTCCAGGAAACACATTATTTAGATTTAGAGAAACTAAAAAACTTTTACTAATAATGAATAAATCCTCGAGTTTATGTGTATAGGTTGAGAATCACCCTGTATACTTTCAAGTAACACTAGGGAAGTGCCATACGGCGATTTTCTTGAAACTTGACATACAAGTAGGGTATGGAAAAATATTCGACACGTGTATTGTCATTTCTGCCCGATCGCCGTTTTAAGGGTAGAAATCACCCTTTCCGATTTTAGAGATATGTTTGATTATTTTACGAATTATTTTTACGATTGTTGAGAAATTATGTCACTACTATCCGTGCAAAAAGTCAAGGCCCCTCACTTTAGAGATC